CTGTAACCTCCTTCATAGCACAGTGAGAAATTCAGCTTTTTCAAGCCTCATCTAAAATTGAAAAGTGTCTCCAAAGGAATTGTTTGTTGCTTTGTTTGCAAAAAGTGCAAACGGCACATCAGAGAAGCAATAATGCCTTGGTGGATTGTTTGGCTGAACACTTAGTCAGAGTATATTGTAATGAGCCATATGCTAGCTTTGCATGGTATTATGGGGCAAGCCAGCTGCAATGTGCAGCTGATTAGTCTGGTTGAAAAAATCTTCATTTTCCATAACAGGAGGCCAGCAAAAGCAAGCATTCTGGCAGGTGCCAAACAGCCCCTCTGACTGCTTCTGTCATGTTGCTGTGGATCAGAACAAGCCAGGAGAGAAAAAGAACTTCTACTTTATTTCTGTCCAAAGAAGGGAACCTCCTTTAGCCCTAGGCTAGTTTAGCAGTAGCTATTTACAAACCATACCCCTTTCACTTTCTTACAGAAGAGGTTTCCACCAACTCTCCCTGTAGTTGTCGCTCTTGTTGTCTCAGTCAGAGTTCAGTCATTTAGCCCTGAGCTCAGCTGATGTGGTGGAAACCTTCTCTGAGATAAGAGGATAGGAGCCAGGAAAAGATGGATGCCTTCTGAAGTGCAAGATCACAGGACAGCACAAAAGCAAAAGTCCTTTTCCCCCAAAGCTGATCTTTTGCTGTGGCCAAAAGCTGATGCTTAGAAATCTGCTTTGAACTTCAGCTGTGCCAACTGCTGAATCAAGGATTTATGTGGCCACCTTTTGAATGAATCAGAAGTTCCCATTAGAAGGAGGAAACATCAGTAGTTCTTTTAAGATCTTCTTTCAAACTATTACTGGTTGCGTTTCCAAAACAAAATTAACAGCCACCTCAGAATCTACTGTGAACTAATACAACAAATCTAGAAACATGATGCTAATGAACCAGAATGAGACGTTAGCTTTATGAAATCTGATTTAACAAATTTTTAGAGAGAAATTCAGCTTAGGATTATCCCTTTCTAGCTCTTGTGTTTTGAATGGCCAACATTATACACAGACAGGAGGGGACATACATGAAGGTTACTTCAGAAATGCTGAAAAGAAGTCAAGAAGGTGTCTCAATTTTGGGGTGCCCACATAATTTGTCAGGCAAGCATCTAAAGTGCAACAGCACTACGAAGCAGAGGTAATAGAAGGGAAATTGGGAGCGATGTGGGAAAACCTAAAGTATACCACATTTATGTCTGCCTAAGAAGCCTGGTTCAGTCTCATTAAAAGAAAAATTCCCCAAAGACAGGATTGTTTAAACTAGTCTTATTTGATATGGTTATTAATGAGGAGGAGGAGGGAGCAAATTGTACATTAATGAATTTCACAGACAGTAATATTCTGGGAAGCTCTGAGGTCTCCAGTGAGGAGTGATCATTGGCCAAGTGGAGTGCAGTACTACTGTTTTACTAATAAAATACTGAAGCTTCTGAATATTGCATCCAAATCTTTCCAAAACCAGTGGGATCATGGGGGTAGACACCTTGCACTGTCAGTGAAAATCAGGAAGATGGAAAAGCTTGTTTTCCTCTAAGTTCAGCATATGGTCTTAGCAGAAGACATGAGGTGGCTTGAGTGTTTAGGGGTTAGGCTGATGGTTTACAGCTATTTTACTTCACCCAGACAGTTCCTCCTGTCATTCCCCTAAACCCAGCTGACTTTCTTGCTTCAAACTTCTAACCAATGGCTCAGCTCTCTGGATGGAGACTGGTGATGAGTGGTGCTCCCCAGGGGTAAGTGCTGGGGCCAGTATTCTTTAATATCTTCATCAATGACACCAACAGTGGTGTTGAGTGCACCCTCAGCAAGTTTGCAGATGACATCAAGCTGTGGGCTGCAGTTGACACACCAGAGGGACAAAATGCCATCCAAAGGGACGTAAACAGGCTTGAGCAGTGGGCCCAGGTGAACCTCATGGGAGAGCTGATGGCAAAAGCGAGAGAGGACAGGCCGAGTTAAAGCTCCAAATGCCATTGAGAGTGGTGAATGGAAAGGCTGGGTAGGAAGGGTGCGCAGGAAGTGGAACATCAATTGTGCTAAGCATCAGAACATCTCCTCTGAGTCTTAGCCAAGTGTTAAAATGAGACAAGTGCGGTTGGATGAACACCAGAAAGGTCCTGACATTTCAGAAATCCTTTGCTGTTTTGCCTTTAATCAATCTGTACTAAGCCTCAAATATGAAAAGAAGTGCTTATGGCAAAGGTGAATTTCATATTAAGAGTAAATTGCTTTGATGCTTGTCAATTTGCCAAGATTTTTATAGTAAGGAAATGATATTATTTCCTAGACTCTTGGCATGGCCCTAAAGGTCACATCTCACAACACAGCTCTCTTTTTTTTTTTTTTTTTTTTTTCCAGCTGTTGTTCATACAGCAAAAACATGACAGGCACGAGTGGCATTGCTGCTGATTCTTGGTACCACTGGGAAAAAAGTCTCAACATCCTAGTTTGTTTACATTCTGGAGTTTTATTGTGAAGGTAGAATGAAAATGGACCATGAAAAGTTCATGGCCACTCTGCATGAATATTCTCAAGTATTTCACAGATGTATTTATCTCCTTTCTCACTTAGTGGAGTTCATGTTCTTTCATAAGTCAGCTCTTACTTCTAAATGCGAACCTGTCCTACACATTCACAATGCAGGCCTTTTAAACAAATGGCAAAAAGCTTTCATAAAACACATGGCAAGTATTACAGTTTTATGAAGATCTCTTCACTGAGTATTAAACCAAGCACAGTATGATTTTGGAAGGGTCAGAACCAAACTCTAGTGGAACATACATAATATTCTCATGCCAAATCTGTGTGTGTTCCTTTTATTTTTTTTCCAACAAACAGCAAGTGGTGTATAATTACAGAACATTGCATAGTTGAGGTATCATAGAATCATAGGATCACCTGAGTTGGAAGAGTCCTTTAATGGTCACCTAATCCAACTCTACTGCAATGAACAGGGACACCTACAGCGATATCAGGTTGCTCACAGCCCCATGCAGCCTGACCCTGAATGTTTCCAGGGATGGGGCATTCACCACCTCTCTGGGCAACCTGTTCCAGTGCTTCATTACCCTTATTGTAAAACACTACTTCCTTATAACCAGCCTAAATCTCCTCTCTTTTAATTTGAAACCATTTTCCCTTGTCCTGTCACAACAGACTCTGAGAAAGAGTCTGCCCCCTTCATTTGTAGCCCCTTTTAAATACTGAAAGGCCAATCTCAGGTCTCACTAGAGCCTTCTCTTCTCCAGGTGGAACAGTCTCTCAATCTGTCCTTGTAGGAAAGGTGTTCCATCCCTTGGATCATGTTTGTGGCCTCCTCCGGATGTGCTCCAATAGGTCCACATCAATATGTCTGTGTCTCTTGTACTGAGAACTCCACATCTGGACACAGTACTCCAGGTGAGGTCTCACCAGCACAGAGTAGAAGGGCAGGATCACCTTCCTCACCCTGCTGGCCATGCTTCTTTTGATGCAGCCCAGGATACGGTTGGCCTTCTGGGCTGCGATTGCACATTGCTGGCTTTTGTCCTTCTGCAATCCACCAGTACCCCCTCCACTCTCCTGCCCCGGTCCCCTTCAGCAGGGCTGTGCTCCATCCTTACATCCTCCAGCCTGTACTGATAGTGGGTGTTGTGAAAGTCAGGTGCAAAACCTTGCACGTGGCTTTTCTAAACCTCATGGGGTTCAGCTGGGCCCACTGCTTGAGCTTTTTTAGGTCTCTCTGAATGTCATCCCGTTCCTTGAGCATGTAAATTGCACCATACAGCTTGGTGTCAAACTTGTTGAGGGTGCATGTGATTCCATTGTTAATACATGTCATTGATGAAGTGATTAAAGAGCACCAGTCCCCATACTGATCACTGAAGGATGCCACTCATCACTGATTTCCAACCAGACATTGAGCCATTGGCCACCACTCTCTGGCTACGATCTCACAACTAGTTCCTTGTCCACTGAACAGTACACCCATCAAATAATTCCAGTTTGGAGAGAAGGATGTTATGAGGGACCACGTCAAAGGCCTTACTGAAGTCCAGATAGATGATATCTGTGGCTCTTCCCATGTCCATTGACACAGTTACACCACAGAATCATAGAACTGCTCAGGTTGGAAAAGACCTTAAAGATCACCAAGTCCAATCACGACCTAACTATACTACCCTAATTCTAACAACCCTCTGCTAAATCATGTCCCTGAGCACCACATCCAAGTAGTTGTTAAACACATCCATGGATGGTGACTCAACCACCTCCCTGGGGAGCCCATTACAGTGCTTAACAACACTTTCTGTAATGAATGTTTTCCTGGTATCCAACCTAAACTTGCCCTGGTGCAATTTGAGGCCATTTCCCCTCGTCCTGTCACCTGTCACCAGTGAGAAGAGACCAACCCCGCTCTCGCTGTCAGCACCTTTCAGGTATTTGAAGAGAGCAATAAGGTCTCCCCTCAGCCTTCTTTTCCCCAGACTAAATGGCCCCAGTTCCTTTAGTTGCTCCTAGGAGGGCGCATTCTCCAAGCCCTTCGCAAGCCTTGTTGCCTTTTTTTAGACAAAAGAAGGGCAACATCATGGAAGGGCCACATCATGGATGTCAGGATACAGTGATCACACATGAATTTGCAGGCTTTAAGCAGAGCGCTCTGTATGGGTACAGCTTCTCAGTCCAAGCAACTGCCTCCCTCACGCTCCCCTCACAGACAGACCACAGAACCCATCACACAACCACAGTCTCCGCTCACACGTCCCTCACACCGCCCCACAGACCCGGCAGACCGCTCAGACACCCGCCGCAAGCAAACACACACACCGCCTAGCCCACATTCCCCTTCGCACGCCCCACATTCCGCCTCACTCGTTCCCGCCCCTCTCCTCACCGGCAGCCAATGGCAGCCCGAGGAGTAGGCGAGCCTCCCTTCCCTCCCACCTCCTACTGGAACCCCTCCCGCGCGCATGCGCCTATCGCTCTTAACGGCGTTCGGGCGGCCGCTGCCTTTCCGCTTCCCTCGCGGGCGGCGGCTGCGCGTGAGCGCCGCCTCGCGCCTCCCGCCCTTTCCTGCGGGTTGAGGCCCCGCTCGGCGCTCCGCTGCCCGCCCCGGGCCGGGGATGCGCGACGCGGCGGGATGGAGGTGGAGGAGGCGTTCCCGCTGGTGGGGCAGATGGGACCCTACCAGGTGTATCTGTGCGTCCTGCTGGCCGTGCTCCTCCAGGTGAGGGGTGCTCGCGTGTGGGCTGCAGCCGGGTGCTGAGCTCTCGGGGTGCAGGCGCTGGGGTGACCTGTGGGCGGCGGCAGGGCTGGAGCTGCTGCAGGGTGAGCTGGGGGCGCGAGGCCGGTGCTGCATGTGCCTGCAGGAGTCCCGGCTCGTGTCCTTCCGTGCGCCGTGACGGAGGGCGGGTAGTCAGATGAAGGGCAGATGTTGGAGATTCCGCAGGGGATCGGGTACGACTTCAGGGTGGATATTAGGAAAAATGTCTTCTCGGAAGGAGTAGTGAGGCTGTGGCACGCCTGCCCATGGAGGTGGTGCAGTCACCTTCCTGGAGGTGTTTAAGAACCGTGTGGATGAGACACTGAGAGACGCAGTTCAGTGGGCACGGTTGGACTAGTTGATCTTAAAGGTCTTTCCCAACCTTAACGATTCTATGAAGTAGGTGTGAGGAGAATGTCCATCTTCATAGTCTGGCCTAGGCATAGGGTACAGCTGAAATCTGACACGTGTTAATTTACTCCGTTTTAACTTATCAAACTTGTGATTGTGGTGACTTCATCTAGACTTATTAATTCTGGAATACAGCCAACACAGAAGTGTACTTGCTTCGCGGAACAGGGGGGCTTAACAGCATCCCTCCCTCTACTGACTGTACCTTATGGTCACCTGGAATTTCCAGTCATAAGCACTGAGACTCTAGATATCTTCTGCCAGCTAAGGGATTGATGGAGGAGAGATATGATAAGAAACTCATCATATAACCATCAGGTAACTCAGATACCATCAGATAACATCAGATAACCATCAGATGCTCAGTTGTGTCAGTTGGGGATTCTGTACGTGCTTGCGAAGCTGAGATGTTGAATGGCAAAGACCTTGTATGTTTCTATTTCCTTCTACTGTTTATCCCCATTCAATTTTCTCCACCATCCATGCGTTATCTGATTGATCTTTTAAAGTTAAGCATTGATTAGAGCTTGTTGTACTGGCTGTCCAGGCAACTTGTGTGCTCACTAAAGGTTAGGGAGTAAGGAGTTATTAGCTATTTCTTCCAATGCTGGTCATGGTTTGCAACTATGACAAGTGCTCTTTATTCCCAGTAACTGTTCTGTAACGCCTTTTTTTGTTCATTTGCTTTGTGACAGCTTAACTTATTTCTCCACTCAGAAGTAGACTGTAATATATATTATATATTAATATATTCAGGATAGTTGTAAGATAGAAATGGAACAGGTGTACAGGTCTTTTTCCCTCTTGTGTTATCTTTAGTTCCTGAACTTTACCCATGAGAATCATCCTCTGACTGATATAAATTCCTGTGTCGTACAGATGTGGAGTACAGAAAACATTGCAGATGGAGGTTTGTGTCTGCCAGCCAATGAGTCAGTTTTATACAACTAGTTCCTGCTTGGGTGGCTGATTGCTTTCTACGTTCCTTTGTTGGTGCCAGAGTACATGGTACGTCATTGGGATGTGCTAGAATCAAGCTGAAGATTGTTGCCATGACTAGTGTTAATCTTCTGTTTGGTTTATTGTCACAATCTGGAGGATGCACACAAAGGTGCAATGTATTTGGCTCATGTGATGTGGATTTAGGTAATCATGGTCTCCTTCAGTGGATTAGATGCAGTATCTGTCTACAGAAGAACTCCTCTTAGTCTGTCAGTCTGCTAAGGACTGACTCTTCTAATTTATTGCTCGCTTCCCTGTCTTTTGCTACATGCTCCCTCAGCTGGATTTGTGTTTTCACATTGGCACATTTGTTTCAAAACTGTTTCTACGTTCTTAAAGATAAGAGTACCACAGGGTGAAAACTGTTCTTTTTATCTGAACTGTCAAGTTTCTTCATCTAGACACAAGTATACAGAATTCAAACTCTGTGTTCTCTACCTCATAAGATTCCTTGCAGATTTTCACCTTTCCTTGTAGATTTTGTGCTTTTTTATCTCTGGATATTTCTGATCTATTGACTTTTGTACTTCTTTGTAGTTTTCCCTTATGTTACAGTGGTTTTGTTCTCATATGTTAAGCTGCTTTTGTCACGTTCCTTACTGATGTGCCAAAATAAAGTCTTCTCGTCTGCTCTCTAAATTCTAATTACAAACATAGTTTAGCTCACAGAATTTCTCTGGGATAAGCTCTACCAAATGCACAAGTCTGTTTGCGTGAAACTTTCTGTGTGGCTGTCAGTTTTCATGTGGGCTTGAATGAACTGGTCCCAGACCTATGGGACAAGCTTAATGATACTGCTGGGAGGGGGGGGTGAGAGAGGAAACCCTCCAGGTTGCTGGTAGTTGGAAGATTGATTGTATGTCATCAGCGTAAAACAGGCCTCAGTATTAGGCTGGTAGGTCTCTTTCAACTTTGCAAGGTATTTGTTTTCACTTTGTTTTGTTTCTGTATTACCTGCTGTAGTTATCCATTAACTTGTTGGAGCTGTTACTCTATTCAACTATGCTTGGCTTATTCACTGCCAATCTAATGGCTTTGGAAGATTTTAGGGCATGTTCAGCAGAACTGGATGCTATCTTTATAGTAGTACAATGATAGCTAAAGCAGAGAAACATTTTGTTCTAATTTCTATAGACTTACCTGAAAGCCATATTTAACTGATGGGTATGGGGTTAGGCTATGAATTGTAGGCTGCATTAATCTTGCATTTTCAGTGTGTATTCAAGAGTTAGAGAGGCATAAGGTGAGCTGATAACTCTTAGAATACTTATTACTTTACTTAGAACTGAAAGTAGCTGTTTGACACCTATTGGTTTCTAGAAAAGCGCTCGCTATCTTTTGGAGAAAGTGTGTTATTAAATAATTGTCTTGTGCTGTTGTTTAATGTGTAGCAACCCTGAACAATCTCATGTCTTGATCAGATGCTTAAGAGCATACAAAAAAATGTTTGTTGCTCTCCTGTGTCAATATAGACAGTTGAAGGAGATTTGTGTTGACCAGTGAATGTGAAAGACTGGTCAGTTCCAAACAGAGCCTGTGATAGGAATCTGAGAACGGGAGCATGTTGCTACTGTGGTTCTTTTAAAAAAGATACTTCAAACATTTTAGAGTTTAAAAGGGGGGAGGTATTGTCTGCAGAGGTGAAAGAATCTTTGCCTGAGGTTGGGTGACATGCTCATTGGGTGGTAGTATGAATAATTAGTCAGGGTGCTGTTTCTTTCTAGCTTGGAATTATCACTAAATGAAGGGAAGACAAGATAGTAAGGATAGTGTAATCAAGGTTATTGGAAAAATGTTTTAACTTTAGACAAAGATACTCCTGATGTAGTTGTGGCCCTACTGAGAGGTGTTGCTAATCTCCTTGTGGCTGGCAGCGAGCTAATGACCTCCTTCATTAGAATATCATGATGCAGAGCTTTGCTCTTTAGTGAGCCTGCCTGCACAAGCCTGCTGAGGGAAAGCGGGTAGCTTACTTAAACTTTTTGTCCAAGTAAGTTCTCTCCAGACCTTGAGGAATAATTCAGTTTGAAGCAGTGTCTGGCTTCAGTAGGGTACAGATGTGATTTCATACATAGCAATGCTTAACTGTGTGTCTTGGTGTAACATTCTTTATTCTCCTTGTTCTGCTTCCTGAATGGTGTGGGATGTCATTCTGCAGTTGTAGTGATAACATTGAAATCTTGTCTATGAATCTTTTCAATGCTTGTATTAGAGTTAATTATGCTGTTCTTTGAGATATGTTCACTTGATCATAAATTAGTACAGTTTACTCTGTACTTGATGAGGTATTCTGTTAGGATTTTATTTGAATGGAAAGTACAAAACAAATCTGAAGTGTAAGGAAAGAGACATGAGCACCTTATCAGCTGCCAGCATATCTACCTTCACTCACAGTCACCTCAATCCAAACCAGTGTCACCCTAAGCTTTAGACATATGCTTATATGCACAGTTAGATCTTAACCACAAAGTGCATGTAGTTGAGTTTATATTTTTAGGTGGTTCTACATGTCATCCCACAGTTCCCAGGTTTTGTTGCTCTTCTCATGATTGGCACTGAAACAACATGTTCTGTGTATGTCTCGATATAAACACATCTGATCAGCTTTTGCAACCTAATTTGCAAGGCTGGCTTCAGTTTCTGTGCAGTTCAGTCCTAGAAGATTCCTGATCAATGTGCTGTTGAAGAACGAAGAGTTCTTGTTGATTAATGTGGCAAGAAGTGTGAATATGGGGAGAAACACCCAGAAGTGGATATCCTGAATGCACAGCAACAGAGGAACCTGCCATCACTTACTACAGAAACTATATATATTTTTTTTTATCAGCACCCCAACTATAGAGAGCATGCTTCTGTGTGATGAGGTTCTCGATGGGGATGGTATGATTTTTTTCCATCAAAAGCAAAGATGATGGGAGAAATAATTGTGCTGTGTAAGGAGTAAAGCTGTCAGAAGGAACTTGTTCTGCCACAGTTTACTCTAGCTATTGTTGAATAGTTTGCTTTTGGGATATCTTGTTAACAGAAACAGAAAGTAACTGGGAGGCATCGGGTGAATGGTGTCTGGTATCTTTGTGTTGTATGGCTAAAACATACAGGGAGGTGGTTTTTTGTGTTATTAACATTTATTGTTACATCAGATATTTTGTGCAGTGGGATAGTTATTGCCTATGGTGGGAGCTGAAGCAGTCCTCTCTTCTGTTAATCAAGATGGCTTTCAGCATGGCAAATTCTGCTGAAACTGTCAGTCTTGCTTGTCTGTCCTCTGAGCGTCTTTGGAAGATGAGCTGGGAAGTTGGACATAATTGTACTGGATGCCAAAGATGACAGAAAACAGATATTTACTTTATGACACACTACTCCCTTTCCTTCTTCCCTGCCCTTGTGTACATACACTCTCTAATCTTCCTGTGTTTTGTAGGCAGTAAACTTGCTGTGTTTTTCCACTAGTAAGCCACGTCATCATTGCTCTCCTCAATGACATTCCCTTCACTTAAGATAGTTTGGCTTCCTTTTCTGCCAGATGATTTTACTGGCTGGTATGTAAATAC